CAGGCCTCGTGCAGAAGGGGTGGGGCCATGGGCAGAAGGGACGGGACCTCAGGCAGAAGGGGCGTGGCCTTGTGCACAAGGGGCGAGGCCTAGGGCTTGCCTTCCCCAGCTCGGCCATGTGGCGACGCGGAGCAGGTGAGCAGGAGTCACCAGCCCCCGGCCAGCGGTGTCTCTGTACAGCTCCGAGCACACGCCGCCCGCGGGGCTCGTGCAGAAGGGGTGGGGCCATGGGCAGAAGGGACGGGACCTCAGGCAGAAGGGGCGTGGCCTTGTGCACAAGGGGCGAGGCCTAGGGCTTGCCTTCCCCAGCTCGGCCATGTGGCGACGCGGAGCAGGTGAGCAGGAGTCACCAGCCCCCGGCCAGCGGTGTCTCTGTACAGCTCCGAGCACACGCCGCCCGCGGGGCTTCTCGCTGTGGGTGGGGTCCGCTGCTTGGCAATCAGGAGGAAACCCCCCCATCCCCGAATACAAGAGGGGCCGATCTGCTCCCCCAGCCTGGCCTGCCGGCCACGGGCCTTACAATTTCACGCAGCATTTACCACACAGGCATCGGCTGGCAACCGAAGGGCTCCACATACGTCCCCTCTGGGGAATCACCTCCTAAGCCACGGGGCGCGAGGAGTCTGCCTGGACCCAGCTGGGGAGGGAGGGAGAATCCAAGCACGGCCCTTGAGAAGCCCCGCTGTGTCTGCTCCTAGCTGAACTGCTGCGGGCTTCACAACTACACCGACTTCTCCGGCTCCGTCTTTCAACTACGGACCAACCTGACCTATCCCAAAACCTGCTGCAAAGACCCAAGGAGCTCGGCGTGCAACGGCCTGGACGTCGGCCACGAGGTCATCCACCAGGAGGTAAGGGCCTTCGGGGCACACGACGGGGAGGGAGGCAGTAGCGCTGTTAGAAACCCGGCCGGCCGTATCCCTGTGGCCACGGGGATCTCCCGGCAGGGTCGCTGCCTCTCTGGGGCTCTAAATCCTAACCAGAAAGCACCCTGTGTGCGCTGACAGGAAGGCCATGGGGCCTTGTGGGCAGGGCTCGGGGCTGGCTCTTCCAGCAGCGTGGCACTCCCGTGCCTCAGTTTCCCTCTCCGTAACGCGGGGGAGAAGAACGAGTCAGATCTCTTTTGGAGAGCGCTTGGCGAGCTGTGCGTCTCAGCCCCGGGAACGTTGCCCAGCCCGTTTGCTGGCCAAGGGGCGACCGTGGCGTCCCGAAGCAAACCTCCCGGACGGGCTGAGTCCCAAAGCGGCCCATGCATCTGTGTCTCTGTCACCCCGCAGGGCTGCTTCCGCAAGCTGGTGTCCCTGATCAAAGAGAAGAGCATACTGCTTGGGGCAGCTGCTACCGGAGCCGCTGTGCTGCAAGTGAGTTTAACCCCCGGGAGCCCGGGCCCGAAGGGGCACGAGCCAGCTGGGCACAGGCCGAACGTGGACACACACAGCGCCTGACGCAGCGGGGCCCTGCCGTCGCTTATACACGAGCGCAAGAACGGCCAGATGGGGTCAGACCAATGGTCCATCTAGCCCAGCGTCCTGTCTGCCTGCTGTGTTCGGCGACAGATGCCCAGAGAGAATGCACGGAACGGGGCAATCATCAGGCAGTCCAGTCCCTGGTGTCCGGTTCCCCACATGTGGCAGTCAGGGGTTCAGGGACACCCGGAGCACAGGGTGGCATCCTTGCCCGTCCTGGCTAATAGCCATCGATGGACCTGTCCTCCATGGATTTATCTAGCTCTTTTTTTTTAACCCTGTTAAAGTCCTGGTCCTCACAACATCCTCTGGCAAGGAGTTCCACAGGTTGACTGCGCTGCATGAAGAAAAACGTCCTTTGGTTTGTCTGAAACCTGCTACCTGTTCATTTCATTTGGTGACCGCTAGTTCTTGTGTTATGGAAACAAGTCGATAACTTTTCCTTATTCACTTTCTCCACACCTGGCTTGATTTTACAGACCTCTAGCCTAGCCCCCCTTCGCCTCCTCTTCTCTAAGTTGAAAAGTCCCCGTCTTTGCCATCTCTCTTCGTATGGGACCCGTTCCAAACCCCTCACCATCTTTGTGCCCTTTTCTTAACTTTTTCCAATGCCAAGAGATCTCTGAGATGAGGCGACCGCGTCGCACGCAGGATTCAAGCCGTGGGATTTGTAGAGCGGCAATAAGAGATTCTCTGGCTTATTCTCTAGCGATTCCCAACATCCCATGGAGGGGATGTTTTCAGAGAACTCCCCCCAGCAGTTCCACGCTCGCGCTCTCGAGGGGTCCGAGCCTAGCGCAGAGTCGGAATGGCTGCTTTACTTTACATTTCTCAATGCTGAATTTCACCTGGGCCATCTTACTGCCCGTTTTGTGAGCTCCCTTGGTAGCCCTTTGCAGGCATCTCTGGTTAACCAGCCTGAGCGCAGGCGTGTTGTCCGCAAACCTTGCCACGTCGCTCCTGCCCGCTTTTTGCAGACCAGCCCTGGATAAGATGAACAGCACCGGTCCTAGTACAGGCCCCTGACTGAAGCAGCAAGTAACATCCCACCACTAGTAGTTCTGCGGTTTCGTATCTGAGGGTGAATGCCACCTGATCCTGGGGACCTCTTACTGCCCGACTTACCAGTGTGTTCCAAACCTCCTCTACTCAACCTCCGTCTGGGACAGCTCCGATCTGGCCCCAGAAAGATGAGCTCAGGTGTGGGAATATCCCTCCCATCGTCTGCAGTGAAGCAGGGAGGGATAGCTCAGTGGTTTGAGCATTAGCCTGCTAAACTCAGGGTTGTGAGTTCAATCCTTGCAGAGGCCATTTAGGGATTTGGGCCAAAAATTTGCCAGGGATGGTATTCACTTCACTTCTCTGCAACAGCCTCGTCTTCCTTGAGTGCTTCTCCTCCTATTTGGGGAACACACTTAGCTCGCATCCCTATTATGGTGGTTTTAACGAGTTCCATGCCACTTGCAGGCATTTCACGGCTCCTTTTCATTTCCAAGGTAATTAGCATCTTCATTTTGGCATAGTTGCCCCCTTGCTGCAATGAAATGCTTCTGTGGGAGGTTTCTTTGCTATGCCCCCCCCCAAGGATGTTAAATGAGCCAGACACGAGGAGTCGGCCTCCCGCTCTGCTCTGCACTGGTCAGGCCTCAGCGGGAGGGTTGGGTCCAGTTCTGGGCACCGCATCTCAAGGAGGATGTGGAGAAATTGGAGAGGGCCCAGAGAAGAGCAACAAGAATGATGAAAGGCCTAGAGAACAGGGGCTATGTGGGAAGACTGAAGGAACTGGGCTTGGTTAGTTTGGAAAGGAGAAGACGGAGGGGACATGACAGCGGTTTTCAGGTATTTAAAAGGGTGTTGCAAGAAGGAGGGAGAAAACTTGTTCTCCTTGGCCTCTGAGGACGGGACGAGACGCAAGGGGCTTAAACTGCAGCAGGGAGGTTTAGGTTGGACATTAGGAAAAACTTCCTGTTGGGGGAGTCAAACACTGGACTCAGTTGCCTAGCAGGGTTGCAGTCTCCATCTGGAGATATTTAAGAGCAATGGGTGTGACGGCGCGTCGGGGTCCCCTCGATCCTGCACCCCCGGAGTGGCACAAACAGGCTCTGCCAGCAGTAGAACAGGGGGGTTTATTGCTCCTCCAGGACACAGCCCAGCACAGACATGACGTGTTTGCAGGAGTCGGGGCCAGGCTGCCTCAGCCCCCTGGAGATGGGTCCCTGGGCCCTGGGTTCCAGCCCCTCCTCAGACTGGTTCCTCCATGATTCCAGCCCCAGACTGCCCCTCCCCCCAGCACACGCTTCCCTTGTCTCCTCTCTTCCCTTAACCAGTAGAACCAATTTGGCCACTGTCCTGAGGCCCCTCTTGCTGGCCGTGCTACAGACACCCGCCCGTGGGGGTCCTCCACAGCCCACCGCCGAAGCCTAGCAACCAGCAAGGGACTGACACTACACCGCAACATGTGGGCATCACACCTCACACAGAGGGGGACCCCGGGGTACAGAGCAGACAGCCCCCCACTCGCCTGTCAGGGATGGTCTAGAGCAGGTTCCCAGGTGACCTATTGTGCCAACTCAGGAAGACTCAGTGACCCAAGGCAATTCAAAACCAGGGGCGGAGGGGGGGCAGAACCTGGGGAGACACCTGGCCACCCTCTCGAAATGGAATGGTGACCCATATTTGGGTCCCGACCCATAGGGTGGGAAACCCTGGTCTAGAAGGTGTCGGTCCAGCCGTGAGGGCCGGGGACTGGACTCGATGACCTCGCGAGGGCCCTGCCAGTTCTAGCGCTCCATGATCTGCATGTTTTGATTGACTCGAGCCGGCCCTTGGGGGAGGTTCTGGGAAAGGGGATGGACCCTAGTAAAGAGGATACACTAGGGCTTGATACAAGTACGGGCAGGAACAGCCAAATGAAAAAGAGCCTCGTCCAGTTACATCCCCGGAAGGCAGAGAACTAAATACTGACAAATTGTATTAGCGCTTGTACATCAGTCTAATGGCTACGATAGGCGAGCCCGGGCGCCTGGGATTAAATGAGGCTGTTGATACAGCCACGCGGTGGAGGGGTGACGTTCCGTGGGACACAGTCAGATCAGGAGACAAAGCATATGAGAATGACCGAGGAGATTGCACGGGTGGGGGAGTGGCGCTGGAGGTGAGAGAACGTGAAGGGTCAAATAGTATGAATCGTGCATCAGTCGGACACAGCTGTGCTTGAGTAGTAAGAGCATGGCCAGAGGATGCACTACCAGCCGCCTGACGAGGGCGGTGATAGTCGCTGTGAAATGCTCAGGAAGATTAGAGAGGCCACAAAACCAGACAGCCCAGGAATAACGGGGCATTTCAGCCAGCCCCAGGCTGACGGATGGGACTCAGAGATAGTCTTGTTAGACCGGTTTAATGCCTGCTTCTTGGAGTAGCTGATCCTAGAACCCACAAGGGACAGGGCAAGACTTGATTTAGCCCTAAGTGGCATTAGGATCTGGTCCAAGAGGCAAATGTACCTAAACCGTTTGGAAATAGAAATCATAATAATAGAATCATAACACCATAGAACACTAGGACTGGAAGGGACCTTGAGAGCTCATCGAGTTCAGTCCCCTGCCCCCAAAGCAAGACCAAACACTTTCTAGACCATCCATGACAGGTGTCTGTCCAACCTGCTCTTAAATATCTCCAGAGATGGAGATTCCACAACCTCCCCAGGCAATTTATCCCAGTGTTTAACCACCCTGACAGGTAGGAAGTTTTTCCTAATGTCCAACCTAAACCTCCATGTCCCCTTTCAGTCTTCTCCTTTCCAAACTAACCAAGCCCAGTTCTTTCAGTCTTCCCACACAGCTCCTGTTCTCTAGACCTTTCATCATTCTTGTTGCTCTTCTCCGCACCTTCTCCAATTTCTCCACATCTTTCTTGAAATATGGTGCCCAGAACTGGACACAATACTCCAGCTGAGGCCTGACCAGCGCAGAGCAGAGCGGGAGAACGACTCCTCGTGTCTTGCTCACAATACTCCTGTTAATGCAGCCCAGAATCAGGTTTGCTTTTTTTGCAACAGTGTCCCACTGTTGACTCATATTTAGCTTGTGGTCCACTCTGACCCCTAGATCCCTTTCAGCCGTACTCCTTCCTAGACAGTCGCTTCCCATTCTCTGTGTGTGACATGGATTGTTCCTTCCTAAGTGGAGCACTTTGCAGTTGCCCTTATTAAACTTCATCCTCTTTACCTCAGACCATTTCTCCAGTTTGTCTAGATCATTTTGAATTATGACCCTATCCTCCAATGCAGTTGCAACCCCTCCCAGCTTCGTATCGTCTGCAAACTTACTAAGCGTCCTCTCTCTGCCAATATCTAAATCGTTGATGAAGATACTGAACAGAACCAATCCCAAAACAGACCCCTACTGAACCCCACTGGTTATACCTTTCCAGCAGGATTGTGAACCGTTAATAACTACTCTCTGGGAACAGTCATTCAGCTAGTTATGCACCCACCTTGTAGTAGCCCCATCTAAGTTGGATTTGCCTAGTTTATTGATTAGATCATGTGAGACTATATCAAATGCCTTACTAAAGTCTAGGTATCCCATGTCCACCGCTTCTCCCTTATCAATAAGACTTTTTAGCCTATCAAAGAAAGCTCTCCGATTGGTTTAACATGATTTGTTCTTTACAGATTCATGCTGGCTGTTACCTATCACCTTATTATTGTCCAGGTGTTTGCAGATGAGTTCCTTAATTACTTGCTCCATTATCTTCCCTGGCACAGAAGTTATGTAGATGGCATCATGAGCTTTCATGGGTACAACCCATTTCTTTAGATGACTGGAGTATTAAAAGTCCAGGTCCAAGAATAAATAAGGGAAGCCGGAGGGCGGGGGGGACCGAGGGGGAAAAGAAGTCGTGAGTTCCGATGCCAGTCGTTCGGTACCACGGCTGGAAACGTTGGACGTCATCCCTAAGGGCTGCATTCACTCCTTCTGTATTTCTTCTCTCCCCCCATAGCTGGCAGCCATGATCGTCTCCTTAATGCTGTACATTAAACTGGGATGACCCCGTCTGAAGAACCACGGCGGAAGGACGGAGGCAGTTGGCATCTCCCAAACACCGGGGCTATGTCTGCCCTCGGGCTTCTTGCTGTGTGCGCCCCACTCCCCTCCCCCCAATGCAACAAAACTCCCGGGCTATGTCTACACTCACAGCGTCTTGCGCGAGTAATATGCAAATGAGGCGAAGCGTGGAATATCGCCGAGCCTCATTTGCATACCTAATGAGCCACCATTTTTTCCGAAGAGGCTCTTGCGCAAGAAGGCGCGTCTACGCTGCCCCTTCGTGCAAGAAAACCCCTGTGGCGCAACGCCGTTCTTCCTGTCGAGTAATAGGTGTGACGGCGTTGCGCAGGAGGGCTTCTCTTGCGCAAGGAGGGGCAGTGTAGACACTTCTTCTTGCGCAAGAGCCTCTTCTGAAAAAAATGGTGGCTCATTAGGTATGCAAATGAGGCTCGGCGATATTCCACGCTTAGCCTCATTTGCATATTACTCGCGCAAGAAGCCGCGAGTGTAGACATAGCCCGGGAGTTGTGTTGCATTGGGGGGAGGGGCAGGGGGGCGCACACAGCACTGCATCGCTGCAAAGCCGAAAGGGCCCCAAGTGCTAGTGGTCCTGACCCATGGCAGTCACTGGGACTTGGCCGCTGACTGCCAGAAGGGGAGGCTCCTTCCTTTGCCCAGGGTTCAAGCTGCCTGTTTCCATAAGAGGAAACCCTGGGTGTGTGGTCGTTGCAGAGGCACAGGCTGAAACGTGTGTTTTCTAGTCTCCGTCCCCTTGGGGAGGAAAATGTGATTTAAACTAAACATGGGAGACTGATGGCTGGCGTGTCTGTGTTTTTAAAGGTGTCTTGTCTCCCTAAAATACCGACCCACCGCTTGCTCACCTGTCTGAGCAGACACCCGGTTTTCATTCCGCACAGGCCGCTCTCATTCTGCCAGGGAAGGGTTGCGACGGGGATAGGCTCTTTCAAACTGCTGAAGAGAAAGGAGAGTGAATGGAGGAGGCTGGAGTTAAAGCACAGGTGACATCGCATTAGGAATACTCGGGCAGTACAGCTGGAACCTCTCTAGTCCGCCTCCCCCAGGACCTGGCCGGTGCTGAACCAGACAATTTACTGGACCACAGGAGGTCAGTATTGTCTAGCTGCACTGCCGACACTGCCACTGTTTGCTGGGCTTTAATTTAGGGTAAATTAGAGCTAAGTAACAGCACAGGACATGGAGAGCCAGGACTGGGGGTTGGAAACAAACTTTATGGGACTGCAAGAAACTTGGCCATCCCCATGCTAGGTGGCCATCTGGCTCACCCAAATCATGCCAGACCACGGGTGTTGCCGGACCAGAGTGCCCGACTAGAGAGGTTCTACTTGGACAGGAATAGCAGTATCCTGTGCTGGCAAAGCGATATAATTTACTCCACCCCACAACAGCACAACAAACTGTGCCACAAAGATGCAGTTGTGTTGGAGTAGTAGCATCTACACTGGGTGCAGCTGTGGGCACAACGGTCAGACAGGGGTCCCACGCCTTCCTCCTGCCGACTGACAGCTCCGCCCATATGGGGCTGGGGTGCAGACCAGGCATGAGGCCAGAAGCGATCATTGTGATCATGGGGTCTGGCCAGAGACCTGCCTCCAGCCCTCTCGCCACATCGTCTTCCCATTGTCAAACCAAACGCAAAGAAAACATACACCCGCCCCCAAAAGCACAACCAGGGACAAGCGCCCAGGGCCTGTGCTGGGAGGATGAGCTAGAGAGCCCAGACGTGGGGAGGGTAATTGTGCCTCTACCTCGGGGCAGTGCCTGGGACATGAGTGAGAGGTCATGGCCTGAGGGAGGGAAGTAACGATGCAGGCAGAGGTACAGGTGGGGGGTGATGAAGGGGGCAAAGGTACAGGCGGTGGTGGGAGTGACGACAGGGGCAGAGGTACAGGCAGGGGAAGAGTGAGGACAGGGCAGAGGTACAGGCGGTGGTGAGAGTGACGATGGGGTCAGAGGTACAGGCGGTGGTGGGAGTGAGGACAGGGGCAGAGGTACAGGCGGGGGGGCGGGTGACGACAGGGGGCAGAGGTACAGGGGGGGGTGTGGGTGACGACGGGGCAGAGGTACAGGCGGGGGGGCGGGTGACGACAGGGGGCAGAGGTACAGGGGGGGGTGTGGGTGACGACGGGGCAGAGGTACAGGCGGGGGGGCGGGTGACGACAGGGGGCAGAGGTACAGGGGGGGGTGTGGGTGACGACGGGGCAGAGGTACAGGCGGGGGGGCGGGTGACGACAGGGGGCAGAGGTACAGGGGGGGGTGTGGGTGACGACGGGGCAGAGGTACAGGCGGGGGGGCGGGTGACGACAGGGGGCAGAGGTACAGGGGGGGGTGTGGGTGACGACGGGGCAGAGGTACAGGCGGGGGGGCGGGTGACGACAGGGGGCAGAGGTACAGGGGGGGGTGTGGGTGACGACGGGGCAGAGGTACAGGCGGGGGGGCGGGTGACGACAGGGGGCAGAGGTACAGGGGGGGGTGTGGGTGACGACGGGGCAGAGGTACAGGCGGGGGGGCGGGTGACGACAGGGGGCAGAGGTACAGGGGGGGGTGTGGGTGACGACGGGGCAGAGGTACAGGCGGGGGGGCGGGTGACGACAGGGGGCAGAGGTACAGGGGGGGGTGTGGGTGACGACGGGGCAGAGGTACAGGCGGGGGGGCGGGTGACGACAGGGGGCAGAGGTACAGGGGGGGGTGTGGGTGACGACGGGGCAGAGGTACAGGCGGGGGGGCGGGTGACGACAGGGGGCAGAGGTACAGGGGGGGGTGTGGGTGACGACGGGGCAGAGGTACAGGCGGGGGGGCGGGTGACGACAGGGGGCAGAGGTACAGGGGGGGGTGTGGGTGACGACGGGGCAGAGGTACAGGCGGGGGGGCGGGTGACGACAGGGGGCAGAGGTACAGGGGGGGGTGTGGGTGACGACGGGGCAGAGGTACAGGCGGGGGGGCGGGTGACGACAGGGGGCAGAGGTACAGGGGGGGGTGTGGGTGACGACGGGGCAGAGGTACAGGCGGGGGGGCGGGTGACGACAGGGGGCAGAGGTACAGGGGGGGGTGTGGGTGACGACGGGGCAGAGGTACAGGCGGGGGGGCGGGTGACGACAGGGGGCAGAGGTACAGGGGGGGGTGTGGGTGACGACGGGGCAGAGGTACAGGCGGGGGGGCGGGTGACGACAGGGGGCAGAGGTACAGGGGGGGGTGTGGGTGACGACGGGGCAGAGGTACAGGCGGGGGGGCGGGTGACGACAGGGGGCAGAGGTACAGGGGGGGGTGTGGGTGACGACGGGGCAGAGGTACAGGCGGGGGGGCGGGTGACGACAGGGGGCAGAGGTACAGGGGGGGGTGTGGGTGACGACGGGGCAGAGGTACAGGCGGGGGGGCGGGTGACGACAGGGGGCAGAGGTACAGGGGGGGGTGTGGGTGACGACGGGGCAGAGGTACAGGCGGGGGGGCGGGTGACGACAGGGGGCAGAGGTACAGGGGGGGGTGTGGGTGACGACGGGGCAGAGGTACAGGCGGGGGGGCGGGTGACGACAGGGGGCAGAGGTACAGGGGGGGGTGTGGGTGACGACGGGGCAGAGGTACAGGCGGGGGGGCGGGTGACGACAGGGGGCAGAGGTACAGGGGGGGGTGTGGGTGACGACGGGGCAGAGGTACAGGCGGTGGCGCGGGTGACGACGGGGGCAGAAGTACAGGCAGTGGGGTGGCGACAGGGGCAGAGGGACAGGCGGTGGTGCGGGTGACGACGGGGGCCAGCAGCGAGGGCAGAGGCTGGGTAGGGGCATGATGCCCCCACAACCACAAAGGTCACAACCTGGGGGGGCAACAGACACAGGAGGGGAGGGGGAGAAGAGAGAGGGAGGCAAAGGTCACAGGTTGCGAGTCAGGTGAGAGGTCACGGGCCAGCCGTCCATTGGGCAAGGCAAAGGTCATAGGCTGGCACGTGGAGCAGGCCCACAGACCCAAAGCATTCTGGGTAAAAACGCGCCTTCCACCCGGGCAATATAAGCTGATACAGCCTGGCTCCTTTCTAATATGATTGGCCGAAGCAGCTGTCAATCTGGCCAGAATTTCAATCACGCTCCTCCTTATGCCCACAAAGTCCCGCCTTACTTGGTGCCCCACCCCATTGGGGCAAACACGCGCTTCCCTGCCTTCTACAGGTCCAGAGCGCTGTCCATCAGCGAAAGCCCCACCTCCAGCACTCACTAGCCAATGGGTTTCCTAATAGGCAGAGTGGAGAGGCATGATTGGTTCATATTCAGTCAATAAAACTCTGAGATCATTGGCTCGTCCTCCAATAGGGAGCTGGAGCTGCGGTCGATTACTTTTTATGGGCTTCACTGACTGTCAATCAAATTTCGACCCACCCCATCTTTGCGTCTAGACTTCGGCCAGTCCCCGTTTGTGTTTGGCTTGGGTACGTGTCACTCACTACTAAGACCCGCCCATGCACAGCGCCATCCAATGGAGAGGCAGCGTGTGGAATCCCTTCCGTGCGAGTCTTCGCGCCTGCCTTTTCAGCGTTCAATAGCTGCTCCGGAGAGGCCAGGCCTGAGGGTCTGCCATCTCCGATTGGCCCATTCTATTGTCAATCAATACACCACCAGCCCATCGATCATCTTCTCCAATGCGTGTCCCAAGACGAGCCACATTTCATTTCTGATTGGCTTCGTTGCGTGTCAATCAATACGGGCTCTCAACTCACTCTCCTCCAATAGAAAAGCGAACCAGGGACCGTTGCTTGCGCGATTGGACGAGCCCCCTGCCCTTCAATTTTAACACCCGCCTCCCATCCCTTTAATAGGCCAGTCAGAGACGCCGGCTCCTTCCTGATCGGGAAGACGAGCCACATTTCATTTCTGATTGGCTTCGTTGCGTGTCAATCAATACGGGCTCTCAACTCACTCTCCTCCAATAGAAAAGCGAACCAGGGACCGTTGCTTGCGCGATTGGACGAGCCCCCTGCCCTTCAATTTTAACACCCGCCTCCCATCCCTTTAATAGGCCAGTCAGAGACGCCGGCTCCTTCCTGATCGGGATTGGCTGTCTGCCGTTGTCACTCAGAGCCCTCCGCGCGTGTGACTGGCCTGCGAGCCCGGAGGGGGGCGGGGA